TGAGCTCATCTTCACAAGTCCTCTGCTCTTTCTCTGACAAGACTGAGCTGGTTTTCTAGGAAAGTACATTGCTCTCACACTTCTGTTTTATTATGTTAATTAAGAAGCACTACTTACTGAGTACTGAGCAAGCTCTGGTACCCATGTGAGCTGAAGAGATGATGAACAGTGAGGAAAGTGGTTAAATTTCAGCCTCCCTTTACCAGCTAACTGACTTGAGTCTTGCAGCACTGGAAAGGTACTGCATCTTGGTTAATATAAGCTTACAATCAAGACAAGAAACATGAAAGAGAACAGCCTAGTGAAGTGATTGCATGACCAGTGTGGAAAAAGCAGATACAACATGAGATTTAAAAATAAAAATCTAGATCTTTTCAGAGAAAAGAGACTTCAGCCTGGGGAGTTACTTCTAACTGCCAGAGAATGTGAAAGTCAGTCAAAGGCAAAACTTGCAAGTGGGTAACTTGCTTGCCTACAGATGTAATTCACAAATATGGTCTCACTCGTTTGTTTCTCTTAGAACTGCCTGTCTGATATGTGAGCTCATCTTGGACAAGTTGTGGTATTAGAGGCAGCTGGACACCAGAGGTAGCAGGGAAATTATTTTAGAATCAAGGCTATTGGAAAACATCTATACTTCTTTGCACAAGGTTCCTTCTCTGCTAAGCACAAGCCAAGTTATCTTCTGCAGTTCTAACCTTGGGGGGTAAAAAGTCAGCCTGTGCCCTACCTAACAATAGGTGAGAAACAAAGGAGAGCCTAAGCGCTGTTCTTGAAAGTGGCTGCTGCATCTTGGAAGCAGGGGTCAAGCACAGATGTTACTATTACATAAAGATACATCAATAACTACACACTGGAAGACTGAACCAGTGAACTACATTGCTTGAAGGAAATAGTACTGCATGAAAGATGACAGGATCTAAATTACTTGCAACCAGCGAAGTAATGAAGTGAAGGATGAGCGAGAGAACAGATTTCCATACTGCCTGCTTTGTCACAGCATTAGTGAGAATCCACACCTACACAGAAGATGTAATGAAGTATTGGATGAATCAAACTTACCTTGCTTATGGATTAGTTTGCCCTTTTCCAGGAGGTCTTACCTCATCCTCTGCTCAGATGCAGCCTACCTCCCTGAACTGGTATTTTCAGTACTGCTGCCTGCAATGTTGTTTGCTTAGACAATGGTACAAATCTTAGAGCTACAGGGATTTGGCTTTGTTAGCACTCTGCTCCAGCTGCCTTTAATCATCTCAACAGATCCTTTCCTCACTGCCTATAGGTTATTCCATGTGGGAATGCAGCACTATGGCTCAGTTCTTGAACTGAGAACGATTCTTCTCAGGCCCTCCCTTGTTCTTCTTTAAGAAGGAATCTTAATTCTAGTATCTGTCTGCTGTTCAGAATACCACAAAATACCTCCTGGTTATTCTTCTCATTCCAAATGCATTTGCAAAATGGCTTCCCAACTACAGTCTATTTTCATTCCTCTTGAGCATTTGCTACTAGAGGTTGCTTATCAAGGAAGAGAGCACCCAGGTACCACTCAGGCTTTTTGGTGCCATACTCATGCTTTATTTAAAAAAAAAAGAAAAGAAAAGAAACAAACAACACAGCTACAAGATGCTCAGAAAACTTCAAGTTTACAAAATACCTGCAGCCACTTTAAGAGATCTGATCTCACTTATAAATGAAAACATCACCTGCTGGTTAACTTAATGCAGCTGCGATACATCATCTGAACTTAATCATCCAAAACCATCAGTCATTCTTAAACTGTTGATTGTGTGTACAAGAACAATCATCTGTATCACTTTGATTAAAAAAGTCCCTGGGAAAATTTAAAGTTACATGGAGAAAGGGTGAGAGGAGAACTTAGTAAAGCCCACCTGTTGGCTCCTGCAGAAACTGGCTGAGCATGCATTCATAGTGGCTTCGCTCTCCCCTGTAAGTCGACTGCAATTCCTCTGCATATTTAAGAGAAGTCTTACTGAAGCTGCTCAGCTCTTTCCAGTGAGGGAGAGAAACTGACAGAACACGAACCTGTATAGTTGCCATCACACTACATCAGTGCCATGTCTTACTAGCTTTATGGAAGCGTGTCGTGCAAGTCTCAAGTAGCTTGAAAACACTCCTGAAACAGCCCTTGGTCACTCCTATGAGGTAGGTACTGTCTTCCCTTTGGTGGAGAAAGAACAGACTTAACTGCTGCCTAGCACACCAGGCACACTGAAAATTTAAATGACTTTCTCACCACTTCCCTGAATTCAGGGCTTTCAAATGCAACGTTTTGTTTAGCACCATGCATACCAGAAATAAAAGCAGTGAATGATGCTTTAGATTGCATCCATTCCAAGACACTCAGCCTGCCTGAACTCAGGTGTTCAGCCCCCAGTTTCCAAATAAGCTGAAGTAGGGCCATTGTTACCATGTTTCACTCAACTCCACAGCCTACAATTGAACTAATTTGTACACAGATGATCAGACAAAGCTTAATCCTTTCATCTGACAGCTGCCACTCATCTTATATTAGATGATATTGGAAAAAAAGCTTTTCACAAAGACAGTGTAGTATAGAAGCAGAGAAGACTACAAGTATCAAAGTACAATTCAGATGTACCCAATTAATGCTTAGCTATTAGCACAGACAAAACAATGCACTGCTTTTTTTTTTCCTGACCCCACGGGCAGCCTTGTGAAACCCTCACAATTTCCCTAATTAGTTTAGGAAACATGAGAAATGAATAGCAGTCTTTCTGCTATAATATAGGGCCATAGTTTCTTCTGTAGTCTAAAAGCATCTCTTTCCAGTAAGATCTTTCACAGCCCTGACTCCCCATAACCTCACACGAAAGGTGTGTGACAGTGCAATGAACTAGCAAGGAAGCTGATGAGAGCGTGCTGGATGACACAAGTGCTTGTGCCACCAGAAGTGAAGGGGCAGCACAGACACAAGCAGAACTGCTGCTTACATGTTGGAGTGAATGAAACGATACCCTGCTCAGCTATTTATTGGTATTAAGTAATAATATGTAATGACATTAAATACCACCTATGGCTAAGCTATTTAGTTTCAAAATTGAGTAGAAAATTCAAGTATCAAAATGAAAATTCCTACACTCCCAGCCACAATGCAATAACCACTTTCTCTCATATGTAAAAAGCTGAGTGTAATGGACACTTACTAGAAAGAACGTAAGAGATGCCAAAGTTCAACTGCTACCACTCTAGAACAAAACTTGGTTACAGCAGCTAAACACAATTTTAAACTGCTGCTGCATTTATCACAATAGCAGATCACTAGCTACTGGTCATAGGAACTGACAGCTCCCAGCCAGAAAAGTTATTATGAACCATCCCAGGTCAGTGCTAAGTCCTATGATCAGTCTTATTACAGTTGTCCAACTGTTAGCTCCTATGCAAGTTGCTGAACTGTTTTCTCTTTCATGCTCAGAACTTAAGCATTTAGATGTTCACTACTAAGTGCAGAGAGGAAAGCTGAAACCTTAAAAATTCTTCTATCTAAGCACAGTGCTGCAGTCCTACTGCAACTTGTCTGAAGTTCTGTTCAGTGTAAGATATTGAAGGACTGATTTGCTCCAGGACTCCCGCAGAGTTTAGCCCTTCCTGATGAAACAGAACTTGGATATCCTAAGTTGCTGTCCTGTCTTCTCATCCTTTGCTTTTCCTCTTGGAGCCCCACTTATCTAGAGCAGCTCAGATTTATTACTGAGGTGCTTTCAAACCTTGAAATTTTGTGAGAAGTTGAATGCAGTTTAAGATTACCTACTCCCAGAAGATGGGAGATGAACCAAAAAACCCATCTTGAGATGCATAACCCACAAAAAGGAACAAGAAGTAAAATTGAGTATGTCAGCCCCTACAACAGCTATAGATTGTACCATACAAACCATTTATTGCACAAACATCTTGCTGAACTAATGCAAGACTGAATCTAGGCTTGTAAACCTACCACAGAGGCAACACTAATGGCAAAGTTGTTGCATATAATTTGAGTAGTCACCTGTTACAAAGTTACTCACTTTGCCAAATGATCATCCAGCAAGCTTCTCTACTAGAACTATTCTACTTAGACTGGCATGTTATGAAATTGATGAAAGCAGGACTAGGGGTTGTTCTTCCCATTCTGTTTCCCACACAGAGATGAGTCAAGAACATCTCTGCAGTTCATTCTGGCACTGTATATAAGACAGTACAAGTACATCAGTGCAGGTAGTTTCAGAGATGCCTCCAATATATCGCACTATTTATAAGTATTGCTCCACTCTCGTTGCCTTAGAAGCTCAGCCCCTGCAGAACAAGAACAGATCCAAAAGCCCTTCTGCCCAGGTGATTTTTTTCTCCTTCCTATTCCTGAACAAGCTCCCAGATTACCTTCAGACACAAAGAACTGCAACTGAGACGGAAACAATTTGAGCTTTCTCAAGTACCAAACTGACTTTGCTTTATCTGCTTTCCTCCCCCTTCATTCCCTCAAAGTTACAAGCCCTGAATGCAATGGATGCAGATCAGCATCTCTGTTCCTGCTAACTGTGTAAGTTGTGCCTCTACCACAAGAAATCCCATTTTGGCTACATACAACTTTTCTGTCGAAGTACTGAAGTAACACATATTTAATGGAAACACTTCTGTTTCTAATGAGAAAGCCAAGGAGTTGTCAGTAGATTGGTCTAAATTACAGGTTTAAAAACCGTAAAGGTTGAATTTAACCATTTGTCATTTAAAAAGATTGCTTGAAGCCAAGTGCTTTTCTTATTCAGTTTCAAGTGCATGGAATAGGTCCAAGTCTTTGCCCCACGTAAAGCTTGAAGAAAATTCCACGTGTTTTGATATAGACAGCATTCGAGTCTTTGTGAGAGTACCAAGAACGTACTGGAAAGCTGTTTTGGCTTATTCAAAGTTACCTGGTAACACTGCAGAGGTACCACTATATTGAGAACACCTAAACTGTTGGAATGACTCAATAACCATTTAACAAGTTGGGTATAAAAAAATTTATGTAGTAATACCAATTCAGCACACAAATTCCATGCTTCACAAGTTCTGCTGCCGTGTAAGAGTTGTCCTAACATCCATGCAGATAAATTCAGATGTTTAGGTCCCTGCATGCCCAGGTCAAAACAGCAGCAAAGTATCTACCACTACAAGCAGCTATACCCAATTGTGCCTTTAGAATGCTAACTGCACAGAAATCCAGATGACGAGTGCCTGAACAGGGCTGGACACACAAACTTGAGTCTGTGCGTGCGATAGAGAACAAAGTCACCGAGAAGAAAAACGTAGACAGGTTCTGATAGGCAGGATACAATCAAGACAAATTAAGTCACTAGACATTCAGATTATGGGGAGGGGAAAATACCCTTCCAAGTATACAGAGGACAAGCCAGCATTTAAAAGAACTCTAAAGGCACATTTCAGGTAACACGGTTCTGTTAAGACCAACTGCTTACACACGCAGGCACAAACCTTAATGGCTCCCCCCAACAATTATTTAACAAAAAAGAGAAGTGCATTTTCAGTAATATTAACACCATTCAGTTGAACTGTTCAGTCCAAATGTTTAGCAGTATTTTCCTTGCGCTGACACGGACTCCGCACTACTCCAATACAAAAAAAAACCCAACAGGCAGGATTAGTAAAGGTTCATTTGTTGCACTAGTTAACATTTACTCATCAGAGCCCACTGATCTCTTCTGTGCCCTCTTGCGGGGCAACCTCCTTGGTGAAGCTTTATCTGAAAGAAAAAAGGCAGTGCATCAGTTGTCTCAGCTACTTCGTGTTAGTTGTTACCCGACACTGCCCTTCTAGCACCATGCATCACAAAAGAAGCCAGGCTCAAGCATCTCAATGCTTTAAAAAAAAAAAAAAACAAAAACAACAACAAAACACTACAAGCTGTTTGCATCCTAGATAGTAGCAGAAATAACATTCCTATTCTCTAACATGCAATTCTAGACTGAGTTACTAAACCATCAGTTACTAATCAGAAATGCCACCAACACTCTTGATGAATCCGCATGCTCTGCTGTTGTAGAAAAACTCACACCCAGTAATTACACTTTCAGAGAGTTAATGAATAATTAATGACTGGTTTTAGTTTACCTGCCTGAAAAATGTGACAGACCCTCCCCCTTTAGACAGCTTTGCCTTACATGAAATATTTCTATATTCATACAGATTTAAAAGTTTTACAGCTAAAAAAAAAAAAAAAACAAACCACACACCTGTGCAAAAACCATCCACATTTAATTATGTGAATGTCACTCTGAAATCAGACATCCCAAGTGGGGAAGCCACAAAGATTTAGCTGCATGAGCACAGGGCACCAGAAACCTGTTCTTTCCATTGAAACTTAGGACAGGTTTACAATTGTCTTTCCACAGTGAGTCCTTACAAAGGCAGCATCTTTAACTCTTGCACTGTCATTCATACTGTGTATGAAGAAAGAGGTGAGGTGACTGCTGAGCATTTGCTTACAAATTGCTCTTTTCTGAGCTAGGCCTGCTCACAGCAATCTAGCTGTTCAGAGCACCCATGGTGCCATCACAGGCAATCAGTACACTCCAATGCACCTTCAACAGGAGAGGCACGAAACCCTGAGGATCCTGAAGGCCATGTTTCTCAACGCATTCTAGTGCAGGGCTCTAATTTAACCTAACTAGGAATTAAAAGCAATTAAAAACTTAAGCCTCGTTTTTCCTAGCCTTCAGGTACTGAGATGAATCAAGTATAAGAGGAATTAAGTATAAGCTTACAGGGGGATGAGGGTAGAACTCAAACACTGACAAGATTAAGCTATTTCAAGGCAGCTGGCTCTTCAGAGAGGTTTATCATTCAGAGCTTGTACTCCTTGCTAGATTGAGACATCTCAAATTTCTAAGCCTGTATTTTTATACTGTCATTCCACTGTGTTGTGTGGAATATACCAGAAAATTAACATTTTCCAGATGTAGAACAAGTCCTCATAGCCATGTAATATTAGTACAGTTAAAAAGGGATAAGGAATCAAAAAGCTTAATTCATAACTGCCTGTCACAACTTGGGTGCAAGATCTAGGGTCTGAAGGCCTACTATACTAAATAAAATTGTCAGGGAAAGATCACTCAAAAATGCTTATTTAATCAAAACTGGAGTATTTGTACAATAAAGGTAGCTGCTGCAAAGGAAAAGCTTCTTTTAGAATGTGCTTTGTTTGAGATGAGGCTAACTCATCTCAGACCAGCCAACAACAGCACATTAGTGATGGGAGTTGAAGACCCAGGAAGAGAAATCTGCCTATGAAGCCACTATACTCCAAATTGAGGCTTGTCTCTCTCTGAACCAAGATGCACTCACCCATCAGACAGGACCAGCCTTCCATCACTTCAACAACAGCTTGACACTACACCAAGGCAGAACACTGCACTGTGGCTAAGGGGGTTTGGCAACTGTTAGGAGCAGTATTTTGCTCTACTGTTCAGCAATATTTTAACCAAACTGCACCACTACAATATAACCAAAGGTATTATATATGTATCTGTATCTAAAAATATATAAACTTATATGCCTATAAAATGTTTGGATGGTTGTATGCATCTGTTCTGTATTTTACTGCTCATGCTACACCACCAGTCATTGCATGCAGGGAGAAAGGTTTCTATCCATGCCTAATTATCACACAGGCAGTACATTTAGAGCTTCCACTCTTTATCACCAGGGTTTGCCTCACCTCTTCTACTTTGCACTGAAGCCATGGGAAAGCAAGAACAGAAGAAACAGCAAAAGAAGTTAGAAAAATTCAAACATTTTAAAGAAATCAGATACTAGCTTTGTTTTTGGCATCTCAGAGCAAAAAATTCAGTCATTTTGGATATAAGGAACACAGATTCCAAGTTGAATTTTGGTGAATACACACCTGCAATCCTTATTTAGAATTCAGTCTATAGGTAAGCTTCTAACCAACTTACAGAAACTTCCAGGTATTTGACTGTTAAAACCTTCTGTGATCCAGGTTTTGGGTAGAGATGTCATACTGCTGAAAAAGTCTACGAAGTGTGAGAACAGCCAAACTGCCATTGCCAACCAGGCAAGTTTGTTCTGTATAGGAACAGGCTGTTAACAATGTAACCATTAAGCTTTAGACAACTTCTTATTGCCTTAAACACACATATATGTTCTGGAAAATCAATATTAGCTACTGGTGAAGTTAAACTACTTGAGTGCTTTATTTTGTGGCAGAGACTACTTACTTATTTGATTTAAAGTTTCCTGGGGAATCCAGCTCATATCAACATCGTTCTGATTCGTTGTTCCCATTTCAACTTTCTGTACTGGTCTTTTTCTCTGAAAAGTCAAGGAAGAGGTTTTTGCCTTCCACAGTGTTCTGACAGCACAAATATTACAAACAATCAATAGTTCTTTAATAAACAAACTGCAACTGTTTCGCTAAGAGACAAAGTTAGGGTTAGTCAGTAAGTGGTGCTGTCTGGACCCATTTAGCAATTTATTTGCCTAGGTTTGGTGTTAACACTCCTAGTTAACACGCCTCACAATATTATTCTACACACAGATGTTATGATTTCATGCTTGTTTAGATGGGCTCATTATACTTGTTGTGAAAAATAGCTGTCAGTAACCCATACTAGATGGCTGTTATACTTTCTTAGATTGACACAGTATTCTTCTACACAACACTGCAACAGGCTCTGAATAATAATAATAGTAATTTCACGTGAAGCTTCTTAGAACTACATTAAGAACTGGACAGCCATTTTCCCCCAGAGTTAGAATTCATTTATCATGAGATACAAAGAGACAGCCAAGGGAAGTCTACGTAGCAAGCTCTGAATCAGCAGCTGCACACATCCAGAGACTAGAAGGTAACAAAAGCTTTACTTTCTGACAGTCCAGTACTATGGTAAAGATGATTCATAAAGAGCACCAGGCAAGAAACCTACCAAGTCTTCAGTTCTTGTTTTAAAGCTTCTATAGATCAGTCCAGTAACCCTTACAATCCTAATTCTCAAAGTACATCTTCTGAAGTTCCACCCATACCACTGAACACCACAAGAGATGGCTACTTTCCCTCCTCTCTGTACAGCAAGGCCTGTGCTACTAACAACACACAGTGCACTTACCTTCCTAGATTCTAGTAACTGATGTAGGCCAACGATAACAAGCAGACCAAGTCCAGCAAGGAACATGTACATGAAGATCCTTGAAAAAATGTTAAAGTCGTTAACTGAACATCGTTAGCATTTAAGGAAATGTATAAGCAGAGATAGAAACTAGCAATGGCTTCAGCCACGTGCTCACTTCGTCTCTCCCAAGCCATTTCATACATGTGGGGGTAAAAATGAACCTGAAACCTGGGCGTTAACCAATACTGAGCAATTATTCTGACTTTGATTTCAGAAACCAATCCTAACGTGAATTCTGAGCAACAGAACATTTGAAGAGCATTATATAAGCTGGAAAACCACATGCATGATCACTGAAATTCAGCACCTGCAGTAGCACTCTCAAAATATCACGGCTCAAGATGTTGGGACATAGATGTTTGTCTTTTGATTGCTTTAACCACTTGGAAGAGCATCAGTGAACTGCTTATACACTGATGCTTTTCTCTTTGGCAAACGTGATTTCACAGAACAGCTACTTTTAGTTGAGTTCTTTGTTTTTTAAGGTCTTTGGGATTTCTGAAGACCTTCTCTGAACTGATGTGTTTTTAACATTTCTCTCCTTTGATGGAATATTTAAAAGCATACAGGCACAGCAAAATATACTTTTGCAAACATATTGCAAAAATATAAAGTACAATCAGGTCTAGCTGGTCATCTAAGAAAAAGCACTCCTAAAAGAAGCCTGCATCCATAGGGTAAGTGCAACAAAGAAGGAGCATAAGTTCCTCTATTTCCTACTCAAGGCATCTTTTAGTTTATATAATCTTCAATTATACTGGAGTGCACCAGAAGCCAACTGTTCCAGCAGAACCCAGAGCCCAATCCTACAGATCAGTCCAACCCTCAGCATCTTCTACTTAGAGGAAAATGGCACAGTAGCATTACAAAAGCTTAAAAGCTTTGAATTGCTATTTAACTGTGCCTTAACACTGTGCCTTATTCCAGACTGAAGTCCTCTGAGCAAAGCAGTTGCATAAGGTGCTCAGTGACATCACAAAAACACTGAAGATCCCTAGTAGTAACACACATCTTAATTTGGGGGAAAAAGCTCGTTTTCAATCAACACTGCAACAGTCAAATGCCTTCTACACCATCAACAATATACAGCAGACCTAATACTCAGCAAATCAAAAGCATGAGAACTATTTTCATTGCTTCCTCATCAGTAACTTATTTTAGTACACCAGCTAAATGTTAATTTTCAGTCTCCTTACGTTTCTCCATCCAATCCATCTTCTTTTTCAATAATTGTAACCGTTTGATTGAAGACAGCATCTTGAAACATATTACCCTATTAAAAAAGTTTCCACATTAAATTATATTCAACACACAGCTTCTATCTGATCTTGGGAAAACTCTAAAAAGCAGCTAATCTTGCACTGTTCATTTATTTGCTCATAAAGTCAAGATTGCAGATGGGATTCAGGCTGTTAAGTTTGTAAACAAAGCCCAATAAGAAAAACAAAGTGGAATTCAAGCTTCCCTGCCAGCTTTTCTTCTTTAAATGAGTATAGCCCACTACTACACAATGCAAAAGCATTCTAGTTTCCATCACTAATATAACACACACAGCATAAAATGTGCCCATGCTGTCAAAAATGTAGACAGTGTGTTCATGCACCTATTGATGTGCTTAAAGACTTCAAAGGCACTCGCTGTCTGAAGAAATAGGAACTTCACTAAGCAGCTCCTCCCCGATGCTTCCACATCAGCTAAAAACACTGCAAAGAATTACAAATCGTGCTTACATTTGCATCTCTGTAGTTGAGATTGATAACTAATCCAAAAGGACGGCCCCCCATAGGCTCAGCAGGGATGAAAGAGTACTCAAATGTTGCTTGTCTCTGCGGTGGAACTACTGTATTCAGGGGGAGAGCTGTGAAGTTCTGGATATAAAACTGGTAGTCTTGAGGGTACCGGAACGAAGCATCAAGAGACTCAACAATGAAGTCTTCTGTACCCTTATTGGTGAAGCCTACCAGGAATTTCACAATGTTGTTTGCTGGAAAATCTGAAACAAGAATATTTAACGATTAAAATTTCTCAGTCAGCAGACACTGTCCCTGTTTCTACAGTCAGACTCTTCAAGAGCCTCACTGCTTTAACCAATAAGCTGTAAGCGCAGTAAAGGAAATGGTACATCTGCACAGGACACTTACCTTCACCTTTGACAAATAATATTGTTGTATCAGCACTAGGTGAGGCCTTAGGTTCTCCTGACAAGTCTTCTTCCTCTTTTTCTTCTGTCTAAGACAAGAGACTTTATTGAAAAATCCTATAGTGAACAGTGAAGGTAAAGACCATGCTTGCCTTATGAGAATCCCACACGATACGTATCAGTGTGCCAAACCATACCATGACAAGCATTACTACCAATTCCTGCAACAGTACAATTAGCACTAAGTCTGTTCTCCTAGATTTGATCTGCACTATTTTTAGTATTTATCCTTCTCTAACTGACAAAGCGACTAAATTCAGCTGCATTTGATCATAATTAAAAGTTTCCTTACCTCAAAGCAAGAGTAAAGTTTTTGTTCAGGGATGGAAGGAAAAGAGCAGGATCTGAGTATTCATTGATCACATAACTAAGCTAATTTCCACTTACAAATCATGGATAACCGTAAGGCAAGTGAGAATTATTTTCACTGCAGATGGAGTATATTCAACTTTAAATACTGCTTTAAGTAGTATTATGTTTGCCTGGAAACAGATTTTTTGGAGCAAAGAGAGTTTATTTGTTCAAGCTCACCTTTGTGATGACTTTTTAATGTGGCAATTAATACCCTTAGGGGTGTATTTCCAAAAGAGGGGGATCAAGGAGTCACTATCTTCTCCATCAAATGAAAACAAGATTGTTTTCACTTTGAACCGCCTGCTGAAGCAACTGATTTGGAATGAGTTGTACTGTTTGATTTCACAAACTGCAGTTCTGGTAGCAGAAACCTGGCTGTCCCCCATGTGATGTCTTCCCCACAGGTAATTCAAGAAAAGACAAATCCTTCTGAAGCTTCAAGCAGAATGGAAGCTTAAAGGAGATTCTGGAACAGCTACTTAGAAATATCAGTATCAATACTATTAAATGCACACTTAACTGTGCATCTTCAAGCACTTTTGGTCCAATTCCTACTTATGAAAAAAACATTCATGTACAGTTACCAAGTCTGTAGGCTCATCTTCTTCAACTTCAGCTTCATCATCTTCGTCTTCAACTACAGTATCTTCCACAGCTTCCTCATCTTCTGTAGCATCCTGAGCTGCAGCTAATAAGCCTGAACCTATTGAAACAAGATGCAAGCACAAAAGCCTTTCAGTATCTTCTTAACCAACAGAAAATAAGCAATAGAAAACTGGTGCAGTATGCAGAGGGCAACCAAGTTGCCACGAAAGCTACTGAAATACATCGGTTTTTATCATTACAAATGTAAAATCTAAAGTGATTGCTATTATCAGTAACATAACTTTGGGAGTTATGTTTCTTTTAAGACCAGCAAGCTTAGTAAATGATTAACTGCCCTTTTCATTTGCCAGTATCAGAACACTACTCTTTCACACGTAGTTATAAAACAACTTTAAGTTTTCATATCTAGGAAAGTGTTCTAATGTAACACCAGTATATTAATGTGCTCAACAGAGCTGGATTGCCAGTCAGAAAAAAAAAAACCATAAGCTAGAACAAGATAAGTGCAGTCAAGCAGTTCATCCCTTCTCTACTTTTATGGTGCTGAGTCTCATACATTCGAACACTGAGCAGGGCAGTCAGGCCTGAATCCAGTAGTAGCCACAGGGCAGGTTTATGCCTGTATTTAGAGCACGTATCAGTTAAGCAGATGACTGTTACTTATACTAGGAAAAGTGTATCCTCGTAAGAGCGGTGAGGCAGTGGCACAGGCTGCCCAGAGGGGCGGTGGAGTCACCATCCCTCGAGGTGCTCAAGTGTGGATGTGGCACTGAGGGATGTGGTTAGCGGGCACGGTGGTTGGACCAGATGATCTTACATGCCTCGTCCAACCTTCACGATTCTATCATTCAGAAGAATGCAGTTTCGCTGATTCTTTTCCAATGAAGCGAATGCTTTCCAAAAAACGAAGGAGCAGAAATGAATGGACGATGGAATTGCGCAAGCCTGAAGCAGCTCACAGCTCTGAGCACACACGCTAAGCAAACACTCAGAAACTTTCACGTGGAACAGAAACCCTCGACCAACGCTCTTACAGCTTCGGGATTCCCAGTGACGGTTGGAAAAAGCCAATAGAAGCCCCTCTCTCGGATTCCTTAAGGATCCACTCAAAGACTTCGCCCGATCACACGCAACATTTAAGCGCAGCGATTTCATCCACTGAAGTTTTCGCAGACTTTAAGCCCGCAAGTAACGAATTAACCAAACCCCGACGGCTGAGCAGGGCAGAAGCGAGCTCCATGCACCCTTCGCACGGAGCCCACCCCCCGACCCCCCAGCTCGCAGCGTTCCCGTCGGACGCCAGGAAGGCTGATGATGTGGCAGGAGCGGGAAAGGAGAGGGAAAGGAGCGGGAAAGGAGCGCCCCGCCGCGCGGGAATGACCGAGGCGGCCGCCCACCGTCCGCCCAGCCGGCGGCACGGCTGCAGCCGTCACATGGCGAACGAGAGCGGCGATCGGCGCTCTGAAGGACACCGCGGCGGGAGGGCCGACGTGCCGCCAACAGCCGCCGCCAATTGCCACCGCCACCCCCCTAGCAGCAGCCCTTCCCTTCGTTCCCTTCACCTGCGCCGCTGCCCCGGAGCAGCAGGGCGGCGGGAAAGATGAGCAGGGCGAGCAGCAGCAGGCGCGGCGCGCTCCTCATGGCGGCGGCAGGCCGGCAGCCCCGCGCTTTGCGCTGCGGGCGCTCTAAATGGCGGCCGCCTCCATCCGGGACCGCCCCGCCTCGCGCCGCAGCGGACGTGGCTCCGCCGGGGAGGAGCAGCGCGATCACGCGGGCTCAGCACATGTCGCCTCTCAGCTCGCCGCCCGCGCGCATGCGGCGGACGGTCGGCTGTCCTCGCTTCCTGGAGCCGCCTCTGCTCTCCGTGCCCTCAGTGCGCGTTCCCGGCGCCTCCCTCCCACGAGCCTAGCGCCGTGTGGTGAGGCGGGGGCACGCGGTTTTCCCTTTCTTTAGGTCAGCTGGTGTTTGGTGGGTTAGTTGAAAAAGCTTCACGAAGTATAATGGGCTACGTCTTTGATAAGCGATGCTTTATTCCCGAATATCTTTCCCAGATTGCCCAATCAAAAACTCAGTGAAACCCCTAGTCCCAAAACAGCCTCCATCCTCTTTCCCTCAAAGTCAGAGTACAAGCAAACATAAGTGACGTTTAATTGCATTCAGTGTTTTGCAGTAACTTCTGTTCGTCATACGTGTGTGTGCAGCTTTCTGTTCTGGCAGTGGTAGCCAGCGTCTTCCTCCAGATTTTCATTGAATCCATTCTGAACCTGGAAATTAAAAACAACAGCAACAAAAACTGCCTTTTTGGGGTAATTTTTGTCTCAGTCTTACTTCAAGCATGCTGACAGAGAAATGTTCACTATTGGCTGAAGCATGAATATGAAAACCAGAGACCATCCATTGCTACAGGACAGGGAGGTCATCCCGCCCCTGTACTCAGCACTGATGAGGCCCCACCTCAAGTACTGGGTTTGGTTTTGGGCACCTCCATACAGAAAGGACATTGAGGTGCTGGAGCAGGTCCAAAGAAGGGCAGCAAGGCTTGTGAAGGGCTTGGAGAATGTGTCCTGTGAGGAGAGACTGAAGGAACTGGGGCTGTTTAGTCTGGGGAAGAGGAGGCTGAGGAGACACCTTATGGCTCTTTTCAGATACCTCAAAGGTGATGGCAGCCAGAGCAGGGTTGGTCTCTTCTCACTGCTGACAGGTGACATGATGAGGAGAAATGGCCTCAAGTTGTGCCAGGGGAGATTTAGGTTGGATATCAAGAAAGACTTCTGTACAGAAAGGGTTGTTAAGCACTGGAACAGGCTCCACAGGGAGGTGGTTGAGTCACCATCCCTGGATGTGTTTAAAAACCCTTTGGATGTGGTGCTCAGGGACATGATTTAGCAGAGGGATGTTAGAGTTAGGGTGGTATGGTTAGGTTGTAGTTGGACTTGAGGATCTCTGAGGTCTTTCCCAACCTGAGCAATTCTGTGATTCTATGATTTCTGTCAGAAATACCTATTTAGTGGTAGAACATTTTGTTCTGTAGAGATTTTTATGCTGTTTAACATAATCTTTGGTCAAATGTGTCTGACTTAACCAAGCATGGCTTTTTAAAAAAGTAGCCAAATATTTTTGCTTGGGGGAAATAAAAGAGCAAATACCAGCTGGAGGTGTTCTATTTAGCACAGTCCAGTATGAAATACTCTATCTTTTGAGTATCAGCTGCCTACAACATGTGCTTTTCTTCCATTCAAGTTAAATGGCTTTGCTGTCATAAATTAACCTGTGTGGTGCTCTTACTGAGTTTACATGTGGTGGGTGCAGGGAAAGAGCATGTAAAAATAAGTGAGATATGTTGACCTATGCAGTGGAAATGCTAAGTCACAGCCTGAACCAGTGATTGAGCACCTGGTGGGAACGCAGGGCCAACCCAGGGGAGCTCAGATGTAAGCAATGCTCTGAGTGACTGGAAGGGGTGGAGCCAGGATCCGTCCTTTCCCAGACCTCATTTAAGGGTTGGCAGTGGTGGTGAGGGTATTTTGCTGGAGATCCCTGTATACCTCAAGCTTTCTGAAGGTAAGCAGTTTTTCTTCTTCTTGAATTTCTATGCTTAAGGTTGCTGTATTTGATCTTGTTCTCATGTGCTGTAGTCCAGGAATGTGCCACTCTACTGTTATTGTACTTTCTATTATATTATCGTATTACAACCAGTTTTAGTGAAGTCTTGTCTCCTTCAGGCTAATACTGTAGCAGTGCAACAAAGCCTATTGGGCCACACATTCTCTGTGTTAAGTTCTATACTCCTGATGAACAACTTATAAGCTGAAAGAAAATAAATAAAAAGTCTAAACAAATAATTAAAGCAAACTATGGGGTCTTGTTGAGTTTGGTTTTTTTGGGGGGGCGAGGGGGTCTGACTGTAACGGGGGGGAGTTCACATACATAAATATCAAGTGTTAATAGTAATCATTGTTGCTTTTCTTCTGTTTGGCATCTTGTATGCAGGGTGTTAATTCTGAGCAGACTGGCAAGAACTTTTTCCATTACCCATGTGAATCTTGAAGTGGCTATAGCTGTATGCAAGCAATGTAAACTTGCATTAAAAAAAAAATCTTTTTAGTTAGAATTTATTATTATTGTGATATCACAAAAAGAATTATGTTTCTTATTATCTATGGTGATAAGTTTACCTCAGGCTTCTATTTTTTTATCTTGAACTTCTGAATGATTCCTGTGGGTGTGAGTTTCTTTTTCTAAGCCACCAGCAAAAGACAAAGCACTTTATATTTACTTAAAAAGAGCATATTATTTCTTCATTAACGCTTGCCTTTTGTGTGGCAAAGAGTTTGAGAGTTCACTGGGCTTTCTCCTCAGTATGTACTCTGTGGCTTGTGCGAGATGGATTCAGCAAAGGAAGGTCAAAAATGGTGTCATACGCAAAATGGCTGAAGTCAACAGACATGGCTTCAATTATTAGGTCTGTCTATGTCCTGTTTCTTGGGTAAATTTGGGAAACAACTTCCCTTCAGGTCTCTTCCACATGTTCCTTTCCTCTAGTTTGCCTGACTGGTTTTGCATTGTGACTGTTTTGCATTTGGGACCTGATCCAGTTTTCAATATATACTGTCCAACTATCTGTGGTCTAGCTGCAATGGAAGCCCCTTTATTGTTAGCTTGACAGGCATTAATAAAAGCAATTCTATGCGTCCAAGGTAAGGTACACTGTATCAAGGATTAGCTCTTCATTATCTCTTGTAGTTTAGAGAAGTAGTATGGCTTTGGGAAAGTTTCTCCTACTATTAAATAGTAATATGCTAGTCTATAGTAATAGAACTTCTCAAAATGATAGTGTGTGGCAGTTATTAATTATGGATTCCAGTGAGGATTGCCAGTTTCACTTATGGATTACGCCAGTTACAATTATGGGTTCCAGTTACACTTGTGTCTATAAGGTGCTTTTCTACAATATTTGCATTGAGTTCTAGTGGAGAGTCTAAAGACTAACCCTAACCCTAAAGAGCATCTTTGTCCAATTTTGGCATAGCTACAGTACTCTTACCTTAAAGCAAGAATTAAAGCAAAGCAAAACAAAAACAAGAAATGAAAATTGAACAATAGGCTAAAACACTTGATTGTTGAGAATGAAGAAAATAAGACGTTTGCAATAAAGAGGTGAGAAATGTCTTGCAGTATAGTTTGTAATATAAAAACATTTTAATTGAGCATTTAAAAAAATAAAACAACACCTCTTATTTAAAGTAAACATAATCTGGAAACTTTAGTGAAGAAGCACTACCCCATACCTTCAGAACTCGGGCTCTGAAGGCCACCTGTGGGGTTCATCTTGGGACAGGAGCTCTTCAACTTCTTTATCAGTCATCTAGACAATGGGATCAAATGCAAATTTGCTGACAGCACCAGTCTGAGTGGTGCAGTTGATATGGCAGAAGGAAAGGGTGTCATCCAAAGGGACTGGACAAGCTTGTAGTGGGCCCATGTGAACCTAATGAGGCTCAACAAAGCTAACTGCAAGGAGTTGTTGGCAATATCTGTACAGACTGGGAGAACTCACTGAGAGTAGCCCTATGGAGAAGTACTTGAGGGTTCTGGCAGATAAAAAGCTTGCAGTGAGCCAACAGTGTGCATTTGTAGCCTGTACAGTCAAATGAATTCTGGGCTACATCAAAAAAGAGGTGGCCAGCAGTGTGAGATCCAGTCTATCCTTTTGAAGTCCCATCTGGAGTTCCCAACACAAAAAAAGAGGTGCAGCGCTTGGAGTAGGTCCTCAGGAGGGCCACAAAGCTGATCAAAGGGATGGAGTACCTCTCCAGCAAAGAAAGGCTGAAGTAGCTGGGCTTCTTCAGCCTGGGGAACACTTGGAAGGCCATGCTGGCTCTCCAGTACTTAAAAGGAGGCTTATAAATAAAATAGAGGCTGACATTTTACGGAGTCTGATTGTAGCTGGTGGCAGCCCTGACCACAGGTGGGTTGGAATTAGACAATTTTTAAGGTTCTTTCAGCCTAAACCATTCTGTGATTCCACAGTTCCATGATTCTAATTCAAGGTGCAGCACCAACAACTGCATTTGATATTCTTAATGCCTCTCTCTTATATTATACAGCTGGGAAGCCCTATGTTCACATATATAAGATGTATTCTAATATCTTATAAGGTACCATTTTGAGAAAAGTATTGTCATCTTGCAGTTCTTTTTTTTTTTTTTTTTTTTTTTAAATAGTGTATTCTCCATTTATGCTTTCTTCTTGCCAGTCCAATATTCTCCTTTGATATACTGGATCTTTTCTGCCTATAGATGCTTCCTATGGGAAAAACGTTGTGCCTGCACCTGAAGACTCCCAGCTGGCCACACAGAAAAGTGTGTTGCTTCTTTGGCAAGTGTTTCTGTGACTTAGTCACATGGTTGTTTTGTGGGAAGCATCTTGGAATTTTATATAGCACCAAAAAAGAATTAACTTTCTTATGACTGTGCAACCAACATTCATGGAAATAACATAATACAGCTATGAAGAAATACTTTGTTTGGAACTTAACGTGATGTATAGATCATTCTTTATCAGGAGCCACCTAGCCAGTACACAGTGCAACTACAGCAGCACTGAAGAACCGTGTGACTAGGTTTCTCTTTCTCATGTGTGCTTCTTTGATTTAAACCAAAATGTGCATAAAGTTGAAATATAGCCTTGCATATTGGATTATCAAATGATACAAACATACTGCATGAAATGGAGGAGATCCTGGCCTCCTGCTGTGCTTATGTACATAGGGAATAAAAGGGACTGCAAAAAGCAAAGCAGCATTAATCTTAATGTCCGAGACAGCACGAGCAGGATTTTTTTTGACAGCTGCATTAACTTGCTTGCTACCAATCTTTGATATGTCACTGCAGTGAAGTGAGATCCTCGGCTCGGCTGGACCAGCTGAGGTCAAATCTCAAGAACAGGCTGTTTGCTTTGTAGTTATCTCCTCACAGCTATTAGTGCTGTTTGTCTTGAGACAGCTTATTGTGATCATGGACAAGAGAGGACAATTCACAGCTTGGAAGAAGGTGGAAGGACTCAGCTATTAGAGAACTACTTCACTCTTCATTCTACTGGCAGAGTAGAAGGGAAATTTGTCAGTTACAGCAGTTTACTTCTAAAGCTGTAACTAAACGAGCTGAATGCTGCCCTTATAGTCACCGCTCCGCCGACCTTATGACGTCACACACACGTGACCGTTCGCGCTCGATGCTTTCTGTCCCTGTGCAGCCGCCGTACGGCCTGTCGGCTGTGCCGGGCGGCCGCCGCCATGGATTACCGCGCTGAGGTGATGAGGCAGGCCGTGCCCGGGCAGTTCGATGACGCGGAGTGCTCCGACGGGTATGTGCGCACGTAGCCGGGCGCGGAGGGCGCTGGGCTTTAGCGAAGCGGGGCGGCCCCGCTGGAGCCGTTCGGGTTCTGTTTGGAGTGATGGGGGTCCCGCTGCGTGTTGCTAAAGGCCGTTCTCTCTCGTCCTGTCACCATTACTCGAGAGGTGAGGCCGCCCCTCGCCTCACCACAGCCTCCTTTCTGGTAGTTGTAGTGTACAGTGAGGTCTCTACTGAGCCTCCTCTTCTCCAAGCTAAACAATCCCAGTTCCATCAACCACTCCCTGTAAGCCTCCATGCTGCACACCCTTCACAGCTTCATAGCCCTTCTCTGGACACACTCCAGGGCCTCCGTGGAGTGGAGGGGCCCAAAACTGAAGTACTCACAGCATTCAGTACTTTAGGTGGGTGAAGTGACAAACATCTCCTGGAGAGCTAACATCCCAGAATTGCTTGCTGGGGTAGGTATACTGAACTTGTTGTAACCATAACGACCATTTGTAGTTATATCAGTCTGTATTTGTTCCAAGTGACCTTGCAGAAGATGCAGAAATAATTCAGGAAGATGAGTTTGCTGAGAAGTGCCGGTCAAGCTTGTGCAAAGGGATCAACGTGAAGGAAGGAGATAGTGATGATGACAGTGTTGATGAAGAGGAAGAAGATGATGATGATGATGATGATGATGACTGGGACTGGGATGATGAGATGGGAAGACTCATGAATTGCCACACTGCTGCTGGATGCAATCAGCAGGTATGCTGACGGCTATTCTCTCAGTAACAACAGTGTCTTAAAGCAGATGAGGCTAACCTAGAGGTTTTGTTCTGTTTAGTCCTGAGCATCAGTTCTAGTGGAAATTCATCATTGAGAGAAACCTGTTTCTTTGTATCTGTTGTTGTGCCATGCTGTTTGTGTAGTCAAAGCTGTACTTGGCTTCCTTGTCTTAAGCCTTTTTGCTGGGTTCTCTGTGTCTTTGCAGTTTTCCTTCTGGTCCCTAACTTTCTCAGCATTTTTTTCTTTGCTCACTCCTATCTCTGTTGATATTGCTTTTCTTCCTGGAATTTGTCCTCTGTGATTTTTAAACTACTTCCCCACTCTTCCCACTGAATGTTATGACAGTATCTGCTTGTCACATTCATGAGTTATGCTTTGGACTGCATTGTTGTTTAACACTGACAGGCAGCTAGGTACCATGGAGCCACTGTATAGGGCTCTTCAGCAGGACAGGGAGGGGGAAGAAATGAAAGAAAGAAAACAAGAGCCTTGTGGTTTTGAGATAAGAGGAGTTAAATACAAGAAAAAAAGCAAAGGCCATCTAGAAGCAGAAGCAATTGTTCTCAACTTCCCATCACCAAACAATGTTCAGCTGCTCTTGGGAAGCAAGACCTCCATAAGTGTAGTGGTTGGTCAGGAAGACAAACACTTTGATAATGAAAGCATAACGTTGTATAGCATAGAATGTTCTCCTGGTCAGTTTATGTCAACTGTTCTGGACGTGTCCCACCCCTCACCTGCTGGCCTTTGGAGGGAAAATTGGAGAGTCTTCATGCTGTGTCAGCACTGCTCAGCAATAGCCAAAACACTGCTGCAGTACCAGCGCTGTTAGAGCTACACATACAGGGCACAGCGTTGCATGGGCTCCTGTGGGAGCCATATCCAGCTCTTCCTAATAGCAGTAATAATACAGGTGGAAGAAAGTGCTGGAAGTGGGTGGATTTAGACTGAATGTTGTTGGTTTAGAAACTCTGTGCAGAATGTAAGGCCCATGAAGGTGTGAGAATTAGAGTCCTTTGTCCTCTCAGCCTGGCCAGTGGAGGTTCAAAATCTTTCTGGTATCAGTAACAGCATAACAGAATAGCTGAGATAAATGAGAGTGGTGCTGATAGTGGTATACTGTCTGACTCAAAGCACCTGTGTGATTTATTCTTGCTTATTAGTATTTTTTTGCTGTCTGGTGTTGATGGAAAAAGTGTTCAGATACTGTGTTGTTTAGAGAAGACCATCTGTTTAAAAAAAAAAAAAAAAAAAAAGTAAAAACACCATCTTGGGAAGTTCTTTCTGTTCTTCATCTTCTCATTTTTTTTTTTTTTTTTGTTCTTGTTTCTGTCTGTTACTCCCTTTTATTTTAAAGATGAAAGAGTGTTTATAGTTTGCAGGTCAATTTTCTACTGAAAGTAACCCTGAATTGGGGCACTTTTTGGAATCCATTTCCTCGCTCATTCTGGTTTTCTGCTTAGAGCTATTGGCATAGGTACTTGAGCTGACATTTCCAGTGGTATTGTCTGTATCTGAAGGGACTGTTTAGAGAAGGCAACTTACACTGACGAATCCTTTGTTTCAGGCAAATAGGCAGACCCCTAGTTGCTATTCAGCAAAAATGTCTACCCCTACAGACAAGGCTTTGAGGAAATTTGAACATAAAATTAATTTAGGTGAGTATAATTGTGTTGTCTTCTTCTAAGAAAACAGATACCACTCTGAAATTCTCAGGCTAATTCTGCTTGCTTTAAGCCAGAATTTACTGGAATGGCAGCTGACTGTTGCCAGATAATTATTAAGGGCTTTTGTGTACTTGAAATTGCCTTTAGACTTTGCTAACCAGCTGTCATATCCCTTTTCTACCCCTTCAGAGCCAGAGAATTCTTTTTCTCTTTACTTCCTCAGGTCACACAAAGTATTTGTTCCATAGCCTCTCTGTAGAAACCCAAGCAAGTTGTTTGGGCTGAGGGAGACTAGCAGCTTTCTGCTGCAATGCACTGGTCATTCTCTGAAGTGCTACTGCAACTCAGTTTCTTTAGAGGATTGAGGTTCCTTGTGGTATTAGTGGTGGTACCTCATGCAGCAGTTACCTGACAGAATTTTTGAGATAAGAGATTTCTTTCCTTTCTTGTGTACTTGTTTATCGTGTGATTAAAATGGCTGCTCTGCTCAGCCTGTTAAGAAAAGTTGTAGCTGTGAGTGGGGCTTTTTAATGGAACAGTAAATAGTTGCATTTCCTTCATAATTAAGTGGTTCTAAAATGAAGGCTGCAAAGAGTGGTACTGGTATGTGTAGCCAAACAGCAGTTTTATGTAGTTAACAGTCAAGCACCATTTTGAGTATGCTGTGGGAACAGACACTTGGAGACTGCTGTGTCCTCTGGCATTGGACTGGTTTAAGAGAGAAGGGCAGATGAGTTTAACAGTAAAATGCCATCCAAAGAACGTTACTTCTGGTTGGCATTGCATCCCCAAGCTCATGAGACTACAATAGTTATGTTGTAGTCCTGCTTTGGATTATAGTCAGAGCAGATAGCTAGGTAAACTCATGTTTAACTAAACTTCTGTGATGAGCTTCTATCTTCAGGCAGCCAACTGGCTTGTTATACAGAGATCCATCTGTGTTTGAACATTGTGTTGTGGCATACTGACTGTCGGGAGAATTGCAGAAGCAATTCCAAACAGAAAAAAAATTTCTTTTCCTCTCCATATCTTATGTGTTTTTCAGATAAGCTGAATTTTGATGACTCTGTTATAAACAGAGTCACAGAAAAGTCTAGACAGAAGGAAGCAGACATGTGAGTATTACACTGTCTCTATACTCATTGATGTAATTTGAACTCAGAAGAGTTCTTCTTATTCCCTGGTTTGATCCTGAAATTTGAATAACTTTATTAAGGAAAAGAGCACCAACTTCTAAGCAAGCAGTCAGCATGCAGTTTGCATCTCAGTCTTAAACTTTTTTGATTTCCAGATCAGTTTCTTAAGTTATTCCACAGTTGTGATCTTCTCGTCCCTGAAGTGGAGACAAGAAACTATCTGTAACGGGGAGGGGCACTGATGCTTTTGGGCTTCTTTTTTTTTTTTTCTTGCCTGTAGGAGAAAACTTTGCTGTTGTATGAACTGAGAGCCTTCTTTTTTGAGGCTGCCATCTTCTCTTTGTTTTACTTTATTAAAGTATATGTAGGTTTATATTGCTTTACTTTGTCTAGGTGCCGAGTCAAAGATAAGTCAGACAGAGCAACAGTAGAGCAAGTAAGTCCTTAATGCATCAAATCTCTCTTTTGACTGGAATAAATAATCTGGAATCTTGAAATCACTGGTAAAACAGCTGATATAGGAGAAGCCTTGCCTTGGAATTCAGTTTCCCTTATCCTAAAGAAGCCTGTTGTTCCTCTCTTTCTTGTATGAAAGTTGTGCTTGCTCCCATAGCTGTTTTGGAGCTCATTTTTGTGCTTGGCATCATGATTTGATGGTATATGCAATGCAGAATTCCATTTTAAGCATGTATTGAATTCTGAGCATCAAACACAAAATGCTGGGTTTGCTTTCTTCCCATTTTTCTTAAGGAAGGCTGAACTGTTACTGGCCCAAGGCCATATAGCTGCTCCATTTATGCCTGCTATACCATATTTTACCATCTGGTGCAAATCTAACTGGGAAATCATTCTCTTTAGTCTGTTGTGAAGCTAGCTCAAGGGCATACACTCATTCTAATTTCTACTTTTTTTGAAATAAATTGAAGTATCATTCTAGAATCATGGCAAAATCCAGTATGGCAGCTGTTTGAGCATCTTTTGATCCTTAAGAACAGCCTGATGTCATTGGTCCTTTAGTGTAGTACTAAGGAGAGGCTGTGTAAGTAAGCAAGCTTAATTCTCTTCATAGAGGGCACTTGTAATGACTGTTTTTTGTTTAACTTGAGGTGTTGGACCCAAGGACCCGAATGATTCTGTTCAAGATGCTGAGTAGAGGTGTCATATCAGAGATCAATGGCTGCATCAGCACAGGGAAAGAAGTAAGTGTTGTTACCAATGTGACAGTCTCTTTCTCAGCAAGCTAGGTAAGGTATATACTGAAATGTTTAGTTTTCCTGCTGTTTTATTTGTTGCTCAGTAGGAAGTTATTTTAAGGTGCAATTTATGTTAAAGGAAGTCAGTTTCCCTGATGATAAAGGATTTCTCAGAATACTTAAATTTGCCATTCATTTTGTGTTGCAACTGAAATTTTTTACAAACTCTGTGTATGTATAATATTAAACAGTGCTTGAAAGGCATGCAAATGTAGGTAGTTCTTCATAAGGTATTACTGCATGTGAATCATATCAGTTCTGCATCTCTCCAGGAGTGGGAGTATATAATGATGTAACAAAATGCAGTTGAAAATACTGTTTTATAAAACTAGCATGTTTATGCACTGCTGTTATCAAGTTATATGACAGATAATTAAAACCAGACCAGAGTTTTCCAAGTAAATTAATAAATGGGTTTTGGGATGCTTTGTCTCTGGGCTAATCTGGTTTTCTTCCAGGTCCATGGATGCTGATTAAAGGCATGCTTCCACTCTGTGTAGTGGTGTCAACATGATATGCTTGGGCCATGCTTTAGGGCCTAAGTAGTGCACGAGTTCCAGTTAATGTCTGCACAAAAGGGGTTGTTTCAAAATGTGGATGGTGTGGAATTCTCCAGTTTGTTGTTCCTTCTGTTCTGTGTGTATGCTCACACTGTTGCTGTCTTAGGTACTTATTTGTAAGCTGTCTCTGCTAGAAAGAGATTGCAATTGCATAAAATCTTACAGACTCAGCTGAGTGCCACATGGGGGCTGAAGTGCAGAGGCTTCTCAGATGTCTTCCAGAACGTCAGAAGAAGAAAGCAGATTGTGTCAACTTAAGGCTTTTCCTCAGTGATGTTTCTTCCATTTTTAATCCAATAGGCTAATGTGTACCATGCCAGTACTGCAAATGGAGAGAACAGAGCAATAAAGATTTACAAAACCTCTATTTTGATGTTCAAGGATCGGGATAAGTATGTGAGCGGTGAGTTCAGGTGAGCTGGAGTTTGGCCTCATTTTGTTGAGTGAGAGAGGTTGTTGGAAAGGTGGTGAAATGATTAACACTAATACTGCATTGGTTTGCTAAGGGTCCTCCTGATTTTTTTTTATCTGTTTTAAGATTTCGTCATGGATATTGTAAAGGCAACCCAAGAAAAATGGTGAAAACATGGGCTGAAAAGGAAATGAGGAATTTAATAAGGTGATTCTTCCAGTTTTTATTTCATCATCAAAGGTAACAAATTGACATTACAGGAGTATTGCTTGGTCATGGATTTTACTACACTTCATGGTCTCTGGAGTATTCAGGAGAGTGTCTTAATCTTCCCTGTGGGAAGGAAGAGAAGG